AGCAAGTGACAGAAAACTCAAAAAAAATGCAGCAGGAAAAGAAATTAATTTGCTTACATAACACCAAAGTGTAGGAAAAGATGTAGCCTCATGAGAAGCTTCATCCAAAAGTTTTATCAGGACTCAGTTTCTCCCTCTGAATTTATTAAATGCTACTTTGGGTGGGTTCTATCCTGGATAAGCTCTCCCTTCAAAGAGGCAAGATGTTGGCAGCTGCTCCAGACTTTCACTCTCTTAAACTTAAACCCAGTAAATCCAGTAAATCAAAATTTGGGATTCATTCTGATTGGAACAGTGTGTTCTTATGTTGAATCTTGAAACTACTGCTGTGAGCAGAGGCTTTGGGTATGCTGATTATCTAACTCCCATTTCTGGAACCGGGACTGGAACTCTAGCCAGAGCATAGAAGGGGTTCTCCAAAAAGGAAATCAGCGTTCTGTTACCAAAAGAAAGGAGGAAAGGAAACTGCGTACCAACAATAACAAATACTCACCCTAGGCCACAAACTCGAATGTCTCCAGGGTTCTGTTTACATAAATTTGAGAACTGAATGAGTGAAAGATACAGAGAGCGGTGGTTACTGTGATCTCACAGCAGTGCAATAAATTTTTAAAAACGTCATTAGCCAAACAAAACACATCTGGAGAACTAATTTTGCCTGAGAGCTACCAATGTGCAATTATTGGTCTCTACATGAGTTCTGAAAGTTAAAAAAATGTAGATAGTGTTTATAGCATTATATTATATGTAAAACGTAGACAGTTTTTATGGCAGAATGAATTAATGTTTTCAAAGTCTCAAGGAGCCCTGTTATGACTACTGCGACACTCAAAGAAAATGTTCTTGGTATCCAGTTGCAAAGATTTCCCCCCTCCCTTGCTCTCCATCCATTGCTCAGGACCCAGCGGTGCTGTGGTTTACTGCATGCTTGTACCATACTCTGAATGGCAGGTATTGTCGCCTACCCAACTCCCATTCCCTCGCTCTTCCTTGATAGGGTCTTTTTTTGTTTTCCTTGGTTGTCATTGATGTTGCAATTCTTTTCAAATCTCTTGTCATGTCTTATAATCTATTTGTATTTTTACAAAAGGGAGGAAGGAGTTTGAAGGTTGATCCGGAGCTCTGCGAATGCTGGCAGGACTCATCAACTGACCGGCTCACTTGAAGTTAACAGGCAGGAAGCTTTCTGCTATTGTGTTGAATCCTAAATAGACAAAGTGAGTCTATTCTTGGATATTGATATCCACACAAGCTACTCTTATTAGTTCATTAAGTAGTTTAACTGTCATTAACATTAAACTGTCTAGTTCATTCAATAGTTCAGATAAGAACTGATTAGACAGTTCATTAGTTTAGATAAGATCCCACTTTAATTTTTATTTTACTTATTCATTTCTTTCTTTATTTTACTAATTCATGTATTCATTTTATTTATTCATTTCATAGCAGAGAGAGAAAGGCATAGGAAACTTTTGACTTCCATAATCAGGCCTTCTATTAATCCCACATTTTCAGACCTACTCTTAAGTTCCATTGTACCTGCTGCCCAAGTCAAGAGCCTCTTTGGATTTCTACTCGCCATGCTGGCTTTCTGAGTTTTTTTCCCATTAATTAATAATATTCTATTTGCTTTTTGTTCTGTAGGAATTTGTTGTGTTTTCTTATATATTAATGGCCTCTTTCTATTTCCCTTAGTGTTGTGAATTTAAACCTTTAAAATAAGTCCATTACGGTTATCTTAATGGTTTCTTAGAAAGGGAATGATATGAATGCATGTGCTTAATTAGCACCCAGTATTAAACCTGAAGTCTCTGCATCCTTTTTTTTAATAGCTGTATAGTAATCAGTTGTATAGATCAGTGATTTTCAATCTTTTTCATCTCCTGGCACACATAAACTAATTACTATAATTCTGTGGCACACCAAAAAATATTTTTTTTGCTGATTTGATAAAAATATAGGTATAATTTTGATTCATTCACACCCGACAGCTGTTGTTATGTTGGCTGTTGTCATTTTTTTACTTGACAATCTAAGGAAAAGAGGTCAGTGCCCCTGACTAAACAGTCAGTTATTGCATGTTTTAAAAATTCTTGGGGCACACAGGTTGAAAATCGCTGATATAGATGTTTTCTTATATATTAACTTGTCTTCTACTGACTAACAATAAACTTTGTGACTCCAACTACTGCTGCTATGAACATTTTTTTACATACCTCTATGCACATGTATATTTGTAGAATAAATTCCTAGAGGTAGAGTGTTGGCTTGAAGGTTTTTGGAAAGTTTCTCTTTGGAGTGAGTGTGTGTGTGTGTGTGTGTGTGTGTGTGTGTCTTTGGAAAGTGATATTGTATAGTGATTAAAAGCATGAACTCTGGGGCCAGGCTGCCTGGGCTCATAATCCTGGCTGTCTTCCTTACCATTGCTGTGACCTTGGGCAAGTTACTTAAGTTTCTGTGTCTTGTTTTTCTAATGAGTAAAAATGAGAATTAATAATATCACCTTTCTCCTAGGATTAAATGAGTTAACTTGCTGAGATTTATGCCTGATAATAAACACTCAATAACTATTACCTGTTAATGTTACTATTTTAGATGAGGCTTAGCAACCTACTAGCAAAAGAGAAGCCACTGTAAATTAAAAATAAAAATAAAAAAAGGAAAAGAAAGGAAGAAAAGAAAAAAATGACAGCAACCACAGTCGTGAAAAAAAGGGCACTGTTTTTTGGTGGGCTGAACAGGCACTCTGGCTAGTGCCTCTGGCATGACCTTTGGGGGAGGTAAGGTAGAGCCTACAGCAGGGCTGCAAATGGGGACAAGAAGAGAGACACAGCTGACTTAGGGAGGGACGTGGAGGTTCCTTACCCAGTAGTCTACCAAATATGGCCACTTGAGAGTGGCATTCTTAACTGCAGTCCCCCTTTTTTTTGAAGGTAAAAACATAAAAATAGATGCTCCTGGCTTTTATTTATTTATTTATTTATTTATTTATTTATTTATTTATTATTTTTAATTGTTTAAAATATTACAGGTGTCTCTTTTTCTGCCCATGGACCCCTTCCACCCTGCCCCGNTTATTTATTTATTTATTTATTTATTTATTTATTTATTATTTTTAATTGTTCAAAATATTTCAGGTGTCTCTTTTTCTGCCCATGGACCCCTTCCACCCTGCCCCACCTTCCTCCCCAGTCCCTCACCACACCATTGTTTGTGTCCTAGGGTTTGTGTCCTTCCAATCATCCTTAACCCTTCAATAAAGTCTTATTACAGCCTAGCTTTACTGTAAACATGCTTGGGGGGAGGGGACCTAAAAGAAGGAGCAAGTGAGGGAAGCATCATGGAGCCACCCTGCCTGAGGTCACAGTAGCTACCAAGGCAGGAGAGAGGCAAACACAATTCCTAGGGCTCCCCAGCAATACTTGTGGTGGAGCCTGCTGAAAGCCTGGACCTCCTGCCACCCTGTAGGACTGTTTGTACTTGGGTATTAAAAGGAGAATGATTTCTCAATACTGGAAGTTCTGGTAGCACAGGGCCTGCTACATGGTACCCTCTAAGTAAGCGACAGCTTTTTAGACATTATTTCTAAGTTTTGATAAAGATTGAAATAAAGCCTGCATTTGATGCTGTGTTTACTCTTTCTGAAGCCACGCGTGACTCCATGTGTTATGGATATGACAGTCCATTCAAGACATATTCCGGGTACAGCTGTTATGTCGATAAGACAATTGCCAGGCTGAATGAGACTCAAAGACCAGATAGGGTAGCAGGGATCCTAGGCTTTTAACCTGCCTTCCTCAGCAGCTTAACCTTGCTTCTTGAAATTTCAAAGAATTGTTTTCTGTCTCTGTAACATGGGGATTAGTGCTGTAATATCTACCACCTGTCTGAGCTTAAGAGCACATCTTGACATTAAATTAAAAGAGAGAGCAACTAAATAAATTAGAATGGGTAATATACCCTGAAATCTTGACCTGAAAGCCACTATTAATGGTAAAACCATTACAGTATTGTATTTCTCTAACATTTCTAGCAGATGCTTGGCTAAGGGGGGGGGGGAATCTCCATTTTGAGCACTTAAGATATGGCTATAACTTATTATTATTATTTTTCACCATTCATGTATTAATGTGTTGAAAAGTAGAAGATCTACACCCAAAAGGGTGTTATTTTCTGAAATTAAGTAATATATACAGTAGATGGACAGAACACACATTCACACATACATAATACCTGGGTTAATTGTTTATGTTGGCCCATTTGTGCGTGTGTGTGTGTTGAAAATTAATCAAGGACTCAGTATGATAGTAAAAAAGCGAGTTAACAAAGACGGGGCAATGTGGATCCTGAAGCGAGGAAGTGTGAGGTGAAGATTCAAGAAAGATCTAGAAAAGTCCTTGTGACATCAACCCAAACTTGGATCTCTCCAGACAAAGATTCAAGTCTACCTCCCATTTTAATAATGAAGCAGCTGTCAAGGTCAAGGACCCTCTTGGGGGTCTTCATTTGTGATAGATATCTGGGTGGTGTTTGTTTTGTTTGGGGGAATAAATATTTGAAGGGGGTAACTGAAGAAGGTTATGCGTCTGTTATGATGTTATTGATACACAGGCTGACGCTATTATGGCGGATACTATCAGGCTACATTATCTTTATGCCTCCAAGGTAACCTGAAGCAACTGTCTATTGACTTGGCACTGCCTTACACTGAAGCGTTTGCCCTGCCTGGGGACTGTAACCCAAGCCAACCACATACCTCACAGACAGTTTCTTTAGCGAAATTGCCTGGGAGGAGCGCTTCGGAGGGGTGATAGCAGCTGAGTGACTCTCAGGGAGGGTGGCTTTGCCATCTTCTAATTTCCTATTTAGGGGCAACTACTAGAAAGTCCTTCTCTTCAGGCAAGGAAATAGTTATTTACGATAAGGAAACTGGAGGTGATCTGAACCCCTGGAAATTTTTCTTTCCAAAACATGACCTTTGTCATGTTTCACTGCAGGTCATGTCCACGTGGAAAGCAAGGCTCGCCAAAAGACTGAAATCTCCATCCCGAAGGATGCATCCGTTTCCATGTTCAGCTCTGCTGGCCTGTTTTGGGAATACCAGAGAGAACGCTCCCTGTGATCAGCCCATAGTGCCTGATACTCATTCCACCATCTACGATCAGCCCATCGCCAAAGCGGGCGGACACCCAAGTCACCTGAGAGGGGAAGAAGAAACTCCGGAGAAAAGGAGAGATTCCAGCACCCATTCAAACAGAAATGGCAGCGCAAATCGGAATTCAAGTAACCACACTGCTGTCCAGCCTGCTGAGACCTCTGAGGATGTGCCTGGGTCTCCAGATGATGAATTGGACTGTGAAGCAGTTACTTTTCAGACTTCTATCCCCAGACCATCAATTATTGAAATGCCAATGGTGAGTGTTCCTGATGCTATTATAGAAAAAATGGTGTTGGAGGAGAGGTCTGATCATTTGGTGAATGACTTCAGGAAACAAAGTTGTTTAACATTTTAAGTAAATAAGACATTTAGAGGAACTCTTACTAGTGAGAGGAAGTGTGTAAAGCCTCATAAAGTTCTCAAAGGATGTGGAGGGAGGCAATGACAATCAGCACCGGGCCTTAGCAATGCTGGATATTGACCTTTAATTAACTGCCCATGGTGCTTCAGGGTCAACAGTGTCTCAATAGAAGATTGGGGTAATATAGTCTGGGAAAGCTTTTTTTTTTTTTTTTTAAAAAAAAACACAGGTCTGTGAATTTACATGAAAATCCACACTGTGAAAGGCTGGATTATAGGGTTTAAGAAATTGCCTCTACTTAAAATGAATCAGGTGATATCAAAGCAATCTGGGAAAATTTGGAAATGATGATCATTGTCTACAGAGCAATAAACAAAAGAACTAACCTATGCAACTAGTCATGATATGGCTGTTTCTGTGATTGTTTTCTGAGAATTAAAGGCAGGGGAAAGAAGTTATTTGAAAAATATAGTGCTGCTACTTTTATAAGGCAGCATTTTGAGTTATCTATATTTTTCTTTTTTTGGCATTGCTGGATTTTAATTTTTGGGTATTCTGATTTAATTGAGCTGCATAGTCATTGCAAAGTTTTTGGTAATTTCAACTTAGGGAGGCAGAGTAGAGGCAGGGTTTCTTGAATGATGTTTTCCAAATATTAGTACCCCTTGAGCATTTTTTTGGCCATTGCCCTGGCATAAAGCCTAGGAACAGACTTATATAACTGAGAAGTCTTTGAGGATTCATTACTAAAATATTCTAATTTTTAAAAAATCATTTTCTTCCAGGTAGCTTAACAAATCATTTTTGTATGATTTGAGTCCAAGAAGCCTCACTAGCAGTGAAAACTTCCAAAGAGTGAAGACAGGGTTAAAACATAATTTAAAAAATAGTTTCACTTGACATTCTACATAATGTCAAGCTTATATAAAATGCTTAAATGAACAGAGAATTTCACCAAGCCCTCTGTTAGAGCAAGAACTATAATATTTTTCCTAGTACTACTAAATCAAAATCCCAAACAAACAAAAGCCCCCAAATTTGTTCAATTTTCAGTTTAAGGTTAAGATATTTTTAGTAGTGCTCTAGTTAGCTGAGTGGACATCAAGGCCAAGTTTATATTTCTTGCATGTTAAATGAACTAATGATTTACTTGTTTTAATGAACTGAATGAAGACTTTCTTTTGGATAAACATTCCAACAACCCAGGACCTACCTTATATTGCTAAGTACAGCAGGGGCTATAGAAGGTTGATTTGATTGTATCTTTGTTTTAGGGGCGTATGTGATATAGGGCTTCAAAGTAAATATGTGTATTCAAATATAACCAATTAAACACAGTGAGGTAACATCCATATTTATTGTCCACTTGGTATGACAGAGGTTAGATAGGCCTTATGTATCAGAACCAGTCCTAAGGCAAGGCTAAATATAAGTGTCCCAAACAGAGACACACACAAGATGGTTCAAAGGAAGTTGGAGGGTTTGGAAGGTACATTGTAAGGAAGACAGAATTTAAGATTGGTCTAGAAAGAGGGTTAGAATTTTTAAAGGAGAGATGAAGGGGAGGGCTTTTCAATAAAAGGAAATTACATGAACAAAATCCTGGGTGTAAGGGAATGTAGTATAGCAATAGGTACATTAGATTGGCTAAATTGGAAAGATACTGGGAAAGGTAGATTGAGACCCGGAGTGATATGCTTTGAGTGCTGTAGTGAAAAGTTAATTCATTTGGCAGTGGCAACACTTTGAGTATTTTAAGCAGAGAAACATCATGCTTAGAGTTTTATTCTGGGAAGATAAAGAGGTAGAGCCTGTAGGGTGGATTAGAGGTGGGAAGACCAGAGCTGAGAGGCCACTGAAATAATCCCAGACTGAGAACAGTTACAAAAGGAATAGTAGGAGGGTGAGGTAGGAGGGGCAAAGAAGGGGCCCCATGGGGTAGCAAAAGAAGCAGTTGACTCTGGGGTCTAAACTAGATAGAGAGGGTGGTGAGACCAACCTGGGTGTGATGAAATAAAAACACTGCAAAATTAAGTGCCAGGTGGGCGTGGTAAATGGGCATCTAATCTAGTTCAAATTCAAGGAGCTAAAATTCATAGAGCACTTGCTGTTTGCCAGCCATTCTTCTAAGTGCTTTACAGAGTATCCCGTTGAACCCCAGTTACAGTGAAGTACATATTCTTATAATTCTCATTTTACAGATGAGGACATTGACACTTAGAGAGGATAAGACACTTACTTGTTCAAGGTCACAGAGGAAAGAAGTGATAGAGCCAGGACTGGAGCCCAGGTCTATTTTATTCCAAAGTCTGACCTCTGAATTATAACTTGCTTCCACTGCTCATTATCATTTGTGTGGTGTTTGAGGATTTCCAATAAAATATTCATATATGGTCTCACTTTGTATGCTACCAAATTTAAATTCCATTTGTGTGTGTATGTATATATATTTTTATATAAATGTATCTTTGTGTATAATAATTACTATTTGATTTTTATTAATTTGCTTAACCTTTTTTATCTTAGTTTCATGGTATATCACAATGTGGAAAGGGACCCTTTCTATTTGCATCCTGCTGACAACGAGGCTTTGTTGATTACAGTGTGGGATTGCTTTGAGATCTGATTAAAAGTGCCATAGCACTGTCCAGATTTTTCATTACCTAGTAATTTTGTTGTGACATGTTTCCTCTCATTAGATGATGAATGAGCTTCTTTTATTATAATGTTGCCTGGCGGCAAAAATATTTCCCTTTTGGATGCACTGATCCTCATCATTTAAACTGCTTTGGTAGAGGCAACAAATAATACTATTTTCTTTTTTTTTTTTTTTGAGTTCAGCCTCAGGACATAACCATAGCTAAGAAATGGGGACAAATCCATCTTTAGTTAACTGGCATTCAGATAGGAGGGTGATTCATTTAAATATGAAACAACATTTGGTCTTAGAGGAAAGGCTGAAGGTAGAGAAGCCACGTGAACTAAATAGAAAGAAAAGGTTTCTGTGTGTGTAATTATATGTGCATGTGTCTATATATAAAGTGATGCTGATTAGTCTTCAACCTTTTTATGGTCATCTCTTCCCTATTCCAGGCCTGAAATCAAGGCAATGACAACCCTAAAATTGGAATGTGTCTTATATCTTCTGATTATAATTTTTTATAATTTTTTCTTTCTTTCTTAGTGGTGTTGCAATTGGAATGACTTGTAATTGGTGAGGTCATAGAGCCAATGAAACACAGAAGTATGTCATTTATTTCTTTTAGCCAAGAGTTATGTGTTCTTACTATGCATCAGGACAGCACTAGCCCTGGGGAAATAAAGATGATTAAGACACAGTCCCTGAAGTTGTTCCCATTATGGTGGGAGATACAGTTGGGTAAAGAGGCAATGTCAGTGAAGTTAGAGAAGGCTTATGGGTCAACATTGGATGCCACAGGAGCACATGAAAGAGGCTCCCATATTAGCCTTGGGAAGATAGGGGAGGCTGAAATACAGGGAGGAGCATGGGCTCCTTCCTTGTTCTTTTACAATTTCACACAGGACCCAACACTGCACCCTTCCTAGTTGAATGGTATTATTTTCTTCCCCCTCCCTGTCCCTTAACAATGGTGGCAGTTTAAGAAAGACACAGTTCCCACACTAAGTGGCCTCAGAGTAGTTTGGTAGTTTCAGAAGGTCTTTCAATAGCAGTTGTAAGTTTTTATTTTGTTCTTTCTCCAACAACGTAGCCAGCCTGACACGAAGAGAAAGTAATTGTGGTTTGGAAAATCATTCCTGAGTATTTTAATTAATAGTTTTACAAAAAAGATGGGAAACAGGGTACATCTTGGAGTTGACAACTGCATTGCTTTTTGTAACAGGCTGGTTTTGCTACTAGACAGAGATGTGGTAACTAGGACATCCCTAGAACCTAGACTGTGGCCTAGACCAAGCCTCAGAGTCTCAGGTAGTCACTGCTTTTTAGGGTCTGAGTTTCAGCCATCTAGGCACAGTTTTGTCAGTCATCCTTATCTAAAAGATAGTCTCTTGATTCCCACGCTTATAAGAGCCTGATGTATAAATCAGAATACCCTATTAGTTGTAAGCCTTGAGAACTGTCAGGGTAGGGCTGACTAGCCATGTATTTTCTCCACAGGAAAATTAGACATAAAAGAAATGATAACTAGAAATTTGTTGGAGAGTAGAGACTCAGAGGAAGGGGGAGCTACATTCTTTTATTGCAGTAAAATATACATAACATAAAATTTTTAATTTTAATTATTTTTAAGAGTACAGTTGTGTGGCATTCAGTATATTCACATCACTACCATCCATCTGCAGAACTTTTTCATCTTTTTCAACTCAAACTCTTTACCTATAGAACACTAACTCTCCATTCACCATTCTCCCTATCCCCTGACCACCACCACTCTACTTTCTGTTTCTGAATTTACTCTAAGTACTTTATGTAAGTGGAATCATACAACATTTGTCCTTTGTGTCTGGCTTATTTCACTTAGGCATAATATCCTCAAGGTTTATCCATGCTGAAACATGTGTCAGGGGCTTCCAGTCAAGATGGCTGTGTAGGTAAACATGATACTTGCATCCTTCCATAACCACATCAAAATTACAACTAAACTATAGAACAGCCATCATTCAAAATCACCTGAACTCTAGCTGAACTGAAGTCCTACAACTAAGGATGTAAGGAAGAAGCCACATTGAAACTGGTAGGAGAGATGGAGATGTGAATGGCTGGCCCCACACTTATGTGTGGCAGGAAAAATTTGGGAGGGTTATTTCAGCTGTAGAGGTCTCCTGTGAAGAGCAAGGGGTCTCATCCCCACACCAGGCCCCCAGCCCAGAGTTCCAGTACTGGGAAGAGAAGTCCCTAAAAAAACAGTGGGGAT